GTCAATCCTACATACAGCACCTTTAATATTGGAAGGAAAAAAGCGTTCTGTGTGAACAGCCACTTATGCTCACAAAACGGAATATTAATAACTGTTACGGCATAAGTTTTCAAAACCCAAGCACTCTTTTCATGTTTGCCATTGTTAAATCAGACAGACAGTCTTGCCCCAAACTCACACTAATGGTTTAGTTAATGCTTTAGAGTCCAGATGGTTGGATGCTCAGACAAACAGAGCAATATTTTGATAGCACCAAAAAGTTTGAGGAAATCAGTCTACAGACATTATAAGCTGTAATAGAAGAAAGTATTTTAACATCACGAACAGCAAAGTGACACACTCCTTTAAACTGATTCCCCTCCTATATGTTCTGCAGTTTAGACACAGATGTGGAGGATCTGAGAGAGCAGGAGTCGGTCAGCCGTATTCTGGCAGAACTGCTGGAGAACCAGGAGGAGTTCTTTGACTCGGAGGACGACGACATCTCCAACACCAATGACTACAGCTCCATTAATGACCAGGTGAACTTTCTTTCAACAGTGCTGTTATTGAAATTAGTGCTGCTTATCTGTATTTGCACAGGATACTGTGAAAATCTGATGCTATTTCGTCAAAGCCCTGAAAAGTTAATGACAAGGATGTACCATTCAATCGACCCCTGATCTCTGCTGGATGATATTGTAAATCGCTGCATGCATCACACATACACAGACACTAATAATGAATGAGATTTTTCTCAGCGCTCTGCATATGATAGTGGCCCCTGGAAGCAAATTGTTGGATTCAGATGTTTGTAGCCTGTTTATTTTGAAAATAAATGAAATGCATATAATTTGTATCATGTCCATTTTCAAATGTAATTATAGTAATTTGGCTGAAGCACTGTCCAATTAGAGATAAAAATTTAAATGCAAACAGATGTAGCAGTGCATTAAAAAACAAATGCATTTGTGATGGTAAATCTGAATATACTTAAAAGGATTATGTTGCATATGCATCAGCTGGAATGCCGCTCTCTCGTGAACACGCATACAACAGTTAGTGGAAGCAGTGTCAAACTGGAAAATAGTGTTGATAATGCAAGAAGACAATAGTAAACACTCAATTTTTCAGTTAAAGTCAGTTCATTATTGATTTAGTGATGTCATCGTCCAGCTCAGTTCATTTCAAATAGTGTCTGTGCAATCAAGTCGACA